GAAAAGTTAGGTTTGTACATAAGTCTTAATGTGGAAAATACATGAAGTTCTGGAAGTCCACTTTGCTTGCTTCGAGTAAGTACCCAGCTCAGCTGGAAGTTACAGATTCTTATTTCTTCAGGCTAACACCCTCTGCGTAACTTCTAACAAATTCCTAACCGAGTTTTTTACTGAACTTGAGCTTGAAGATCTTTACTCTTACACATTTCCTGTTAAATTTGCCAGGTGCATATAATGCCTGTGCAGAATAAGGTTGTCACTTAATTTTTCATTCTACTTTGTTAATTAAAGAGATCACCTGCATTCATTATAGTTTATTTCATCTGTATTGCTAGATACAGACACATTTCTTGGAAAAGAAAACCTCAGAAGATGCTTAAAAGCACACTTTCATAGGTATTTAAAGATCTTCATTGTCAAGTGCAATGGCTGGATTAAAGTCACCCCACTCCTGGATTGCACATTAAGATATAAGAAATACTGTGTGCTTCCTTGGGACGTCTCTGTACCTGCTGTAGGAGACATAATGAGCTGTCCTTCTGCTGGGTCTTGTAGTTAGTGTGATAGTAATTGGTAAATTACTTGTCAGGCAATTTTTTTACCCAAGTAATGCAGTATCATATACCATATTCTGCATGATTATTCATGTTCATGTAAGTGCAGCTTCTACATGCTTTTAAAGTAATTTGTGGCTTGATGTTTCAGGACAGCTCTTCTAACAGTGATAGTATGTAGATATCAATTCCAGTATTGCATTTCTGTGGCTGCTCTTGTGTAGTAGTGTAAGCACAGTGCTGTGTTACCTTTAAGTATTTATAAAAACCTTCTCTAGGGCTGTTTTGAAATTGATAGTGTCTGTAACACATGATGATGAAAATACATTTGGAAGATGTAGTCTGTTTATCAACTTACATGTATTTACAATAGTGATAGAGTGTTAGATACAGTAAAGCTAGTTGTTCTTTAGTGTCGTTTTATTCAGAATATGTTAATGAAACTTTAAAGACTTCTGAAGCATTCCAGTCTTTAAGAGGAATTGAAACTGAAAGTGAAATCTCCTGCTAAGGAAAAAAAAAATCCATCTTTTTCTTACAGCAGTAGGATCAGAAGAGCTAGTAAAATTTCATAGATGAAATTGCCTGTTTAGTTATTTTTGCTCCAGGACATGTTCTAATCACCCGTTAAGAAATCATAGCTGAGTTAAAGGAGATTGATTATCTGATACTTGTGTGATTACTTTTGTTTCTCATTTGCATGTATAAGCTTGTGATTGACAAGTGACCTTAAATGCTTATTAAGCATGTAATGTTTGTTTCTTTTCTTTTAATGTGCTGTCCATACAAACATGTTTTTAGGGAATCTTTTCAGTGTCTTTATGCAGCAGAATGGGATAAAATTGTCTATTGTAATTCAAGAAAAACCATCATAAAACCATCAGAAAAACCATCTGCTCTCCTGTGTGAAATGGATTTCTTTAAACACTGTTTTCCAGCTTTGTTACTCCAAGGATTTCAGTTGTCAGTGAAGAAGTAATGGCTAGGCACAGGTATACTTGCAGATTCTCATATCAGTTCTTGCAAGTCAAAAAGCACGTGATCGATTCTGCTGGTTGAGTTTCTGTGGTACTCTGTTTTGTTTCTAGGAGCAGACACTGTTGCAGTGTATCTAGTTGGTCTAAATTTATACAGTTGCTCATACTTAGGAACATACATCTTGCTCATACAGGAGCCCTTTCCCTATCACGTTAGGAGACATTAGTAATCTTAAGTCTGTTACTGTGCTTTGAGACTTAAATGTGACCTCACTAATCATAGAATAATCTGGTGTCATGAAATATTCCTGCAGAGAGTATAAGTGGTAAAAACAGAGGGGAAAAAACAAGCCATAAACACTTTGGCAGATGACAGAATCATAGCATGGTTTGGATTCAAACGGGCTGTAAAGATCATCTTGTTCCAAATGCACTGCCGTGGGCAGGGACACCTTTCACAGACCAGATTGCTTAGGGTCCCATCTAATCTCTCCCTGAACACTTTGAGGAATGGGGCATTCACAGATTCTCTGGGCAGCCTGTTTCAGTGTCTCACCACCCTCTGTAAAGAATTTCTTAATATCTAATCTGAACCGGTTGTCTTTCAGGTTTGAAGCCATTGCCTCTTGCTCTCTTACTACATGCCCTTCCTAAAGATTCCTCTCCATCTTGTAGGCTCCCTTTGGGAAGTGGAAGTTTCCAATTAGATGACCCTTAAGCCAGGCTGAAAAATCTCAGTTTCCTTGTAGGAGAGATGCTCCATCTCCGTCCCTCCAATCATGCTTTTGTCCTCCCCTGGACTCACTCCAACAGTTCCATGTCCTTCCTGTGCTGGGGCCCCAGAGCTGATGCAGCCCTGCAGGTGGGGTCTCAGCAGAGCAGAGCAGAGGGGCAGAATCCCCTCCCTGGCCCTGCTGGCCACGCTGCTTTGGCTGCAGCCCAGGACACTTGTGGCTCTCTGGGCTGGGAGTGCCCATGGCTGGGTCAGCTCCAGCCTCTCGCCCAGCAGCACCCCGAGCCCTTCTCAGCAGGGCTGCTCTGGTCTATTCTTCCCCAGCCTCTGTTGGTATCAGGGGATTGCTCTGACCCAGATGTGGCACCTTACACTTGATGTTACTAAACCTCATGAGATTCCCATGGACACACTTCTCCAGCCTGCCCAGGTCCCTCTGGACATCCCATCCTTCAGGTGTGTTAAGAGCACTGTTCAGTCTGGTGTCATCTGCAAACTTGCTGAGAGTGCACTCAATTTCATTGTCTGTATCATTAATAAAGATTAATTAAATAAGATTTGGACTTTGAGCCATTGACCACTACCCTCTGGATATCACCATCCAACCACTTTCTCAACCATTTAATAGTCTAATTTTTTATTATTTATTCTGTAAATTAGACGACTTTGCAGTCATCTGTTTGGCTGTCTGTTTAGTTCATGTTCATCAAAGCTGACTAGACCAAATTCATGGACAGATCCCTTTTTTTTTTTAAAGTCGGGGGGCTAATAGGGAGGACTTATTTGTGGATTAATTATATAATTTAATTTGCAGAATAATAGATTGCGAAGACTAGACACAAGACATTTACCTAGCTATTGTAGATATTTCAGGGTTTTCAGATTTACATCTTTACTGAATTAACTTTAAGTTTTAAACTGCAGTACCTCAAAATATTTTTCTGTCAGCCTGCACAGGACCTGTCCTGAGAGAGCAGGAGCAAAGGCAGGAGAGCAAAGCTCTCATCTGCATGCTGTTTACATACTTTTGTTTAACAGGAGCAAAGTTATCATTTTTTCTCCAGTGCATTAGTTTTCAGAAGATTTCTTCATACCACAGGATTCTAGGAACTACACTGTAATCTTTGCCACAGCCTGTACAATCCAGTTGGAACAGAAAAATTGAGAAGCTGTGTCTCAAATAACATCCAATTTATTAATTATTTCAGAATTAGTCTCTTTTGCAGATGTACTGCTGAACTTTTTAACCATTTTGCAACCACTTGGGAGGGCCTTAATCTTAAATGTGGTCTGGAGTAGTGATCAGAAGCAATAGCAATGTGGATATCCCCTCCAGTGCATTTTTGCAGTGTCATTATTTGTTTTGGGTTTATTTGTACTTTGAATATAAGAATAATGCTTTAAACTTATTAACAGTGAAAATGCTTGTGGTGTGAAAACCCCACAAATCCTGGATTGTAGCAGGACTGCAAGAACACTTCTATGCCCTGTGTGAAAGAGTTGTCAAAAGTGTAGGAAGTTATGACAGGGGGGATGGAGAAGGTTGCTTAAGCACCTTACTCCTCAGTATGAAGAAGGTCCAGGAATATGAGGTGGTGTTGGTAGTCACCTGGACAATCACAGCTACTGGAGATTTCTGCTTTAAGACTTGCATTTCTTTAATAGTCACAGCATGAAAATCTTCAGTATGGTTTTGTGTGCTGTGTGTTGAACAGGTTTGAAAATGGGCAGCTGAGTAAGATTCTTTCCTGTACCTGTTGATCAGACAGCTGTGTCAGCTTCAACTCAAAATAAATACTCCTGTTTACAGGTCCTAACTGTGAGTGTAGTAGTTATCATCAGTAAGGAAAGTTAATTTTTTTTGCCAGATTTTAAGTTCATGGAAGAAGAACTGGTTCATTGATTGACTGTCAGCTTCTGTTCATAACAGTCCTCTGCCATTTAGAGTTGTTTTGAAAAAGCAGAGGGGATGGAGAAAGAAATATGGATTCCAGTTTTGTCTATCCTGAGATCGTTTGCACGTTAGAGAAACTATTAGTGAGAAACTGGAGAGGTGCTCCTTTTTTTTTCCTTTCTGTTCCTTCTTCCCCTTCTTTTTCTTGTTGTATGGATACTGCCCACAAGCTGATGAAAGCTGTTCTGTTTGAAACAACTTATGAAACACCAATTGGTGTTGAAAATAACACCAATTGTTCTTGAGAAAAGGGGTAGATAACTTTTTTTTTTTTGCTAGAATAGTTTGGAAAGGTATCAGTTTTTCAGTCATGCATGTTTTTTTCAGTCATGTATGTTTTTCTCCCACAGCAGTGTGAAGTGTAGCTAATACTAATTTTGCTATCTCAAAGCAATGCATTATACTTTCAGGTGAATCAAATCTCTGCTTCAAAGATGCTCTAGGTCATTAAGGGTATTTAACTGAACAAAGCAGCTGTACTGCTTCTTGTATTTCCTAGTGCACAACTTGTCATTTTTTAGTGTTTCTTACCTTAATTGTAGGTAGGTGACACTAGTCTGTAGAGATGTCTGTTCCAATTTTAAGCCTTCCAGTGATTTTTAATCAATGAAATTGTTTGCAGTTAGCTTGAGGAGTTTGTGTTTTCATATACTCAAGACATAGGTTTTTATTTATCAGTAAGCTATGCCTTCCCTCTTCTGGTCTGCACGATTATTGTCTGTAAAAAGAATATTTAAAAACTACTAAGGTAGAGTTTTACAAGTACACATTTCTTTTTACAGCTTGAAGATGGACACACTTTATTTGACTACAACGTTGGACTAAATGACATAGTTCAGCTTTTGATACGTTCTGATTCTGAAGCTCCTACCACTGCATCTGTGACAGATCAGGATGGAGAAGTCAATCCCTGTGCTGTTTCCAACTGCAAGAACAAGGTCAAAAAAACAAACAGTGGATCACCCAGTCAGCCATCTACATCATCTCGCTCGTTTCTCATTGATCCTGGCATTGGATTGTACAAGGTATGTACAAACTTCACTCCTGTGAATTTAATTTTATTTTTAGAAAAGTACTGTTTCATTGTTTCAAAGAGTGTATCCTCATTGCTTTCTTTTATGCTTTAGTTCCCCGATTTGGCTTAAATGGAATTCACATAATTTAAACTGACTCTTGGAGAGTCATGAGCATGTCCCTTGCACCAATCTCACTTTTCAGGAGAGTTCTTAAACTCTGACACACTGTGTTCTTCAAAATAGATTCTTGAAAAGCTTAAAGTAGCTGTGAAACAAGTACTTTCATGTGGACAAAAGAAGCTAATAAAGAAAATGTGTTAAAGTGTAGCTTTTACCCTTCTTTTTTCTTCAGGCTTTCCAAATAATTGTTTTAGTACTAATGTTTCGGTGCTGCGTTAGAACTAGACGAATTGTGGAAATACACAATTTCTTAAGCTATGTGTTATGTAATGATACCTTTTTTAATGTAGGTTTTTTAGGAATTGCATACCTAGTATTCATTTGGTTTTGTACCTTGTTAAATAATACTTTCAGTATTGTCATGAAGGGATTACATCAGAGTACGAAAAGTTTAATTTAAACAGAAAAGAGGAAGTTTCCAGATTGCTAGCTTATTGAATATTTAGTAGAATGTATCTATCTGTAGGGAATGATAGTATTTCACCTCCTTTTTGGGTGTTTCTCTTAGACATAGCCATAACAGTGATTATTTTGCAGGAAAATTACAATTACAGAGAAGGAAAAGGAGGTTGAGGTTGCCATAAATGCAACTTGCTAACTTAAATGCAACGTAAGTGTTGCCTTAAGTCTTTGAAGAATTAACAAATCTGGCTGAGATAACCACGTGCTGGGCCACTTTCTGGCTGATCTTGCACCTGGCTGAAGCAAGGTCTGAGGGTGGAGCAATGTCTGGAGTGAAGCAGATTGCTCGTGGCCCTGTGTTGTTTCAGTGAGGTACAAAGGAGCGCCTGCACCAGCCATTGGCCTCACTCCTCCTTCACCATGTATGACAAGCCTTTGCTAAAAGTCTGTTTTCTTTATGGAGATAAGGATGTGCACAAAGACTATCAGGCAGAGAGGTCAGAGAGCCTTTACTGCCACCTCAGCAGATGGACTAAAGTGTTTATTTTACCTTTTGTATCAACTCTAAATTCTGACCAAAAGTTATTAAGATCTTTATTAAGTCAAATTTACATAGTAATTTTCACACATTTAGGAATGCAGATGAAAAAAGAACATGCCTGTCTAAGACCACAGTCACCACAAACCCACCTGTAACATAAAATTGTTCCTTTTGGGTAGAACCAAAAATTATAATATAGAAGGGGTATTTTTGGGACAAAAGAGGGGGAAAACACTTCTGCTTGCTTCGTATGGGCTGACAGTGTCTCTCCTCCTTCCCTGAAGGGACAAATTTAGGTGGGCTTTGTACCTCCCAGTTGTATTGGAGCAGACCCAGGAATATTTATTCACACACATATGAATGTTTATTAGTATTTGGGAATATTTGTTATTATAGCTGAATATACATACATGTGTATATATATATAACATTTTTTAGTATATATGAGTATTAACATATATGAATATAGGTGTTTATACTGCTAACAGATCTCTGTTACTATTACCTACTCTCATGACACATAATAACACTCTGGTTAGTGCATTGCTCACTGTTCCTGAACCCGCCTCCTGTTGCTTCAATGAACTGCACTATTGGTGAATCTGGATTGTGGATGTTCCTGAACACAAGTAGACGTAGTGCAGAATTAACCAGACACCCAGCCCTCTGATCTCTGAAGTCCAGCTGGAACCCTGGGGGTTCATTCTCTGCCAAATTTCTGTAGCCTTAAGGCTGCCACATGTATACAAGGTAATTTCAGTTAGACTTCTGTTCATTCTCTGAGGAATCAGGGAGTCACAAAATCAGTAGCATAAATATGGAGACTCAAGCTTGTGTGCTTCCCTTTTCTTTTATATCCATTTATTACAATGGGAAGAGCTCCAGTTCTTCAGTTCTTAAGCTTTACAATTAGTGAAGGAGTGTAAAAGGTAATATAAGAAAGAATAAGGAGAATGATGGGGAGATGGGAGAACACAGCAGATAGACTGATCCGAGGAAAAGAGTACTAAAATGTTTATTTTTCAAGAATGTTACATTTCAAGGTGTTAAATATGAAGTAGTCTCTTAGTTGCTTTTTTCAGGATTAAATCAGAAAATACAACAGGTAATGGTGATATCAGCAAGCATACTCAAGGAAACCTATTTTGTCAAGTCAGCTGAAATTTTTGTGATGTCTCATTCCAGAGAGCTAACACTTTCTCCTTCATTACTTGTGGAGTAATTACTTTTTCAGTCAACAATGTGTTTTCAATGTATCTAGAGAAAATTAAGGATATAGTAATTTCACTTTGCTATTTATAGATAATGGTATGAATGGATACAAAGGATTTATAATTACAGTATTTGAAAACTTTGAAGAATGTGTTTTTACCCGGTATTGTAGTTCAAAGGTTGCAAACTTACTTAATACAAGACAGGAAAAAAGGCCTAGAGCCTAATGAACTAAGGTAGTCTGGGGACTAAATAGGTGGATATGTTTAGTGATTTTTTCATTTCATTGTCAAACAATAAAGAGTAGTCTACTTACTCGAATAAATGTTTTGTTATAACTTACTCTGTCTGAGCAAAGTCCTGTGTCTTGTTGGATCTTCAAGCAGATCTAAACTCAGCAAGATACCTGTTTACTTATTCCATGCTGTGGACAGTCCAAACCTCTGTGTCCTGCTCTCTCTTTCTGATTTCAGCTACCAGAAGGAAAGTTAGTTGGTATGAAACCTGCAATTCAAAAACGTATAAAAAATAATGGTAGAGTTGGTATTGGAAACAAAAGTTATAAATTATTGTTAGATGATTAAAATAGTGATTTAAACAGAGTTTCTCTGTGTGGTCATTGAATATTATATAAATCAGAATATTTCTTGTTTTATAGCCCAGTTGTACCTGACATCTGATACAGTTCTGTGGGCTCTGAAGGACTAGTAGTGGATGGGTTTATGTGCAACTCTTGTTCCTTGTTATTAAGAATTGTTAGTGGTATCTGGTCTAAGAACTGGGACACCATCCCAAGATGGATTTTGAACAACACTACCTTGGCTAAGCAATGGCCAAAAAGAGGAAGGATATAGCAGGATGAGTTGCAAGAGAACAGTTACAGTAACAGTGACTTGGGCATGCAGGAATGATGTTAGAAAAAACAAAGTTCTTTCAGAAGCATGTGATTCTGATTCTAATGTGGTCAGTTTTTCTTTCAAAAAAACACTGACTGCAGTAAAAACATTTTAGCCAAGAACATTAACTTGGAATAAAAACCACACAAGTGGAATCTGTAATTAAAATCAGTGTTTGTTTAATACTGTTCACAAATAGCTACTAATAAAACAGTTCTTAAACCAAACTCCACTCACACAAAATAATTGTGTTATGCTCCTCATGAGTCTGTGGTAATAATTATTTGCTCTTACTCTTTGCAAGCGTGGGAAGTATGTTGTGTAATTATTCCCATCCAATTACATATGCATGTATTATGAAGGAATGATTAAGGGACTTTGCATTGATGTATTGTTTTATTATTATTTTTCCTTTTTTTTTTTTTTGTTCTGGATCTGGATATGATGAATTTTAACTTGGCTAACATGGCTTCTTTGGCACTTGCATAACTGGTTGCATGAAGTAGCAGCAGATGGGGAATCCTTAATAGTGTGTATCTCATTCAGCTGTATTTTGGAGAAGAGGAAGTAGAGCACCACTGAGCTGCAGCTAGTTCAAACACGTAAGATTACATAGGGATGCCTTCATGAAGGTTCTTTTGAGAAATGTCAGAATTCACTGTTTATATTTAAAATAGATATAGACTTAAAATAAGGCTGTCCTTCTCTGATTTGTTTATCCTGTGGCTGAAATTGTCATCCTGGTAATAAGCTGTACTTTGAATACTGTAGGCATTGGTATTTTGCACATGCGGAATAACAAAACATTAGGTTTGGGAAGTTATCTGAAGAGAGGAATGGCAAAAGTAAACCAGGAATTCCTTTACTGGGATAAACTTGTTAGCTCAAACTGCTGTCAGTTGCTTTCAGATACCGAAGGATTGCTTCACTCTAAATACTAAAACTTTTTGAGTTTTGCTTCTATGGAAATACAATAAGATTATACATATCTTAGAAATTAGCCTTTGGGGTGTGTGAGAGTAAGTACCTGTCTGGCACAATGTTGACACCCGACAAAGACTGTAGCTTAAACCATATGTGTATTTATGTATACGCATATCTGCATGTGTGTCTCATATTGATAATTAAAGATTTTTAATCTGCAGTAATTCTGTTGTAATAATTTTTTTATAGTTGGTGTACTGTTGAAATGGTTTTTAAATATTTTCTTTCAGGATTCTCAGTATTATTAAAGGAACGTCTGTTTATTATCTGAAGATGAGAAAATACAACAAGATTTAGAATAGTAAAATAGTTTGGTTGCTTAATACCAGTAGTAATGCTCTGAGTACAGATGGGAGAAATTTTGGAGATGAGTTCCATTTCTTACAGTCATAACATTCTGCTGACTCTGGTGGCAACCTAGTTAGACTTTTTCCTATCTATCCTTGAGTCTTTAATGATTAAAAAAATCTTACAGGACAGAAAGGCAGAAAGTTAAATAGCAATTCCAGGTTGGAGGCTCAGGAAGGTCTGTAAACGTTTGGTTTTGAACTGGTATTTTAGTACTGTGTGTGCTTATCATAGCCATAAAGAACAGTGGGTGAAACAAGAGGAAAGGACAATGGAAGAGATCAAGCAAATTTTTGGATTTGAAAGGAAAAAAAAAATTAGCATTGATTTTTAAAATTTAAAATTTTTAAAATTTTAAAAATCATATAAATTATATTTATACTAGATTTTAATGAAGGAAGAATAATAAAATACTAGAAGTGCAAATAAAAGTATTTCTGACTGCACGTTACTTGAACTTGCAACTAGTTATTGTGGTTGATTGTTTTACTATTAACAAAGTTAAGCAGTAGCACAGTAAGTTGTCTGATTTATCTTTTTCTTAATTGGTATTTTATAATATAAGCATAAACTCATTATTGAATTTTCCTTTTAGATAAATGAATTGGTGGATGCCCGTGATATCAACATTGGAGCCTGGTTTGAAGCTCATATAGAAAATGTTACCCGAGCAGCAAAGGGACATAAGAATGGTAAAGCTCAAGGGAAGAGTGGTAGCACTTACAAAAGGACTAATGGAAACTTAAATCAAGATCATTCTAGAGAAAATGCAAATAGTTTGGACAGTACACCTTCCACATCTTATTCAGACTGTATGGACACTGATGAAGAAGCTATTTATCATATCAAGTACGATGAGTAAGTGCTCCTGATACTATTTTGAGGACATCACATATTGTTATTTGGTTTGTATAGACTGAGAATTTCTTGAAGAAGCTTGGAATCAAAGAAAGCAAGTTCAATATTGCGACCAAGAAAAAAAATACTAAAAAATTTATAACACTTTTTGGTTGGATATAGCAAATCCATTGGCTGCAATGATATCTTTCATGCCTAAATATTTGTGAAGTATTAATATCTTCTCTTTATAAGAGTATCCTTTCTATATAAGAGTATACATACTTTCTACATAAGAAAAAGAAACCATATAACCAAATTTTTACAGTTGTTTTTTTTGAAGTAAGGTTTTTTAAAATTTTTTAAAAATTATTTCCTGTGTATATGGAAGTCCTCTAAGTAGAGCTGAAGGAGAGCTCCACTGAAGCAAATTTTTGTTACTTAATTTGGATTTATTTTATTCCAAATAGAGTAATTGTGCACAAAATTTTGGATCTGCACTTACAGTAGAGATTTGTTATTGAGAACATTGTGACTGAGGGCTTGAAACTGATCCTGAACTGGAAAAGGGGGCATTAAGGGTAGAGTTTTTTCAAGTTAGTTTGGAGCTTTTTTATCACTTCTCTAGTCATAACAAATTCTAAAGCCTGCAATAGGTGAGTGGGAAACCTGGAATTTGAAAGGATTTTGTGTTTATGAGCATGCTTTGCACCACTTCATTTGCTTGGGAAATTGTTCTGAAGTTTTTTTGGTAATAATGTGTTAAAGCAGTAAGTTAAGCTTCGAAACAAATAAATTTTTTAATGAATTGAGTATTTTAAATTTTTGATACTGAGACTAGTATAAATACTGTAGTCTGTGAAATGTAAGATTGAGGTAGAACGATGCAAAGTATATTAAATATTAACTAAATGTAGATTTCCGCAACACTTTTTTACAGTAGCTATTTCTACTCTACATATTTTAGTACATAACTCTGCATCTGAGTTACAGAGAGCACTTTTTGTTCATTGTGCTAGTAATAGGTGCAACTTAATGCTCTTTTTTAATGCTATGCTAAGTTTGGATTCCATATCTGTGACTCTAAGCATTTTACTTAAGATGTTAGAGAACTAAAAATTTGAAAATGACCTAGTCAACTATTATGATCAAAACAAAAATATTTTTCATTGCAAGTAATGTCTGTGGTGAGATTTTAAAGACCTGTCTTTAATATTATCTGATTTTACATTACCGTGGATATATCTAAGTTAGCAATTGGCATAGATTTCTGAGAAAGTGTTTGTAACTGTTGCTGTGAAATTTTGCTGGTTTTTTTTTAGATGCTATTATTTTTTATGAGTTGGAAGTACAGAAGTGGAAAAAGTTTCACAACAGTTCTGATTTTTCTTTGGTATAGTCTTACTAAACTAAAAGATTGACATCTATGTGTACTTCCCTTTCAGCAAATGAAGACAGTCTTTTTACTCCTACAAGATGCTTATGTATAGCAGCTCTATACACTTAGCCAACAAAATTAAGTAAGGCGTAGAAGCATAATGTGGCAAGATGGTCACAATTAAGCTGATCAGTCTTAAGATATTGGAAGTTAGATCTTTTGGAAAGAAAAATTATTGGAAGGTGCAACTTGTACATTTATGAGTGAAAGTTCTTGATGGACGTTCCCCAACTCTTTTGGGGTCTCGCTTTTTTTCTTTTAGCGTTACCCAACATGCACATTCCTATTGTAACTACATTTGTGCTTCTACCACTTTGTTTTCATACATTAGTGTTTACCTCTGATGTCTGTAGACAGCACTTGTATTCTACCACTTCTTTGCATGATGTGGATAGGTAGGAAGATCATGGTGTGCTTTGACACACAGTTGTTCTCTGCTACAGAAATATATTAATTTATTTCTTCACTCCTGTTCATCAAGCTTCACATCTTACTGTAAGTACTATGCCCTGCACAGTTACTTGTGCGTGGGTGTTTTGTTTTTCAGGTTTGGATTAAGCGTTTTGCTGCCCGATGTACTTGGCAGTTTCTAGTCTTTCCTTGTGGTGTTGTTTTGGAGAAGCTTTTCTCCTTTTTATCTCTGATAGATGGTGGCTCTCATGGGTGACATAGTTTCAGGTCCATCTTTCCTACAACAGGTGTTCTTACATGACACAGAAACACTCGCCATTATCTGAAATAGAGTAAAAATTACTTGCAAATGAAAGATATAAGTCTGATGCCAGTAAAGACATGAAAATTACTTTAATACATTGGAAGAACTATATCTCAGAGGTGGGCACAAGTGCAAAACTTCTCAAATCTTAACTGATGCTTTTCTGTCTGTTGCGTCCTTCCAGTTTGAAAAAAAAAACACCACAAAGGTTACAATTGAGGGATGATTGTAATGCATTGAATTGGTCTATTCTACCCCCTAGATTAGTATATTCTCCTATAGCAGTTTTTCTTAAGAGGTGAAGCAGGACTTGTCCTTTAAGTGAGGAAAAGGCTTTAGCCTTTAAGTGAGAAAGCGGGCTTTAGCTGCAGTGCTGCTAGATTTACATATCACAAGTCCTGTACAAAACCTAAATGCTTTATTATGCAGTTTAGATTTCATAAAAGTGTTCCTCCTCAGAGGGGTTCAGTGTTCATTTGTTCCTCTTTCTGTTTCTTGTTTAAGTAGTGTAGTTACAGTGAATGTGAAAGGAAAAAATATGAGAGACCTCTTTTTGCAAGAGTATAGTTAAGGGAAATTACCCTTTCTGGGCAAGAATTAATTATAGTAATTTCAAAGGGGAAACCACCTTTCGACTAAACAGAGCTCTCCTATCAGCTGTGGCTGCTGCAGATAGGAGGTACTACCTCTGTGATTTTGTGGATAACAGCACTGGTGAGTTGTTTCTGTAGTGGTTTTCTCCCACCTTTTCCACCACCATGCCCCACCCCAGATATGTATCTAGTATTTAACTAAATTGCTGCAATAGTTATATGGCCCACATATTTCTGCAGAGAGAAAACCTAGGGCCATTGGGAGGAAAAGAACTCAGTTTCAGATTGCACTTAGCAAGACTTGTGACTCCAGTTCAAAGATTTATACTTGTTTGAGAGCCCTAATTTCACCAGAGAGCAAGAGACCAAAATTCCAGTTTTACCAATGCTAACCTTCAGGCAGTATCAAATTTCTTGGCATCCCTTTGTGGCTATGTAACTTCTGCATGACAGTCCATCTTCTGCTTTCAATTTCTGAATGCAAGTTTTTCCCTGATTCAGCAGTTTGAAGGTGTGTTCCTGTTTTTTCAGTGTATTTCCTCCCCTTCCATTTCACGTGTGCATTTGTGGGTATCACAAGGAGCCGTTAAGCACTTCGAAGTCAAGGATGTGCTATCAGGTTTCATACAAAACATACGTACATTTCTTTCTTCTGCTCCCAGCAACTGACTTTAAATACAGAAGAAATTAACCTGTGTTGAACATAAGAAAGCTGAATCCTGATTTAAAAGGACTTGTGAGGAAACCAGCACATGCTGGTCCTAAAATTAGCTGAGATAATTGTCGGTGATCTCCACCCCAGCTTGCTTAAGAGTCACTTCTAAATCAGAAACAGTTGTTTTAGTGGCAGAGTGGCGCTATAAGGACATGCCTACAATGCTCTGTTATATCGGCATTTGCCCTTTCCTCTTACCTTATTGTATTTCATATTTGTTACTGGTGTAGCACTGGTTATAGTGTACTTAGTTTCAGGGAGACAGTTCTCTTTCTGCAAGTATTGTTCTTCTTGATCATTAGCTCCCCAAAGCAGCAGGAAGACTTAGGATTTATCCTAAGTATTTGGATTACAATCAAGTAATGTCTTTTCCTTTCTTTCAGTCATTTGTAATAAAGTCTTTCCATTTAAGAAGGCCCTCAGCAGAAGCCACAGAGAGGCTGGATGTTTCTGCAGCATGAGAAATTTCAGTATGACAACTTATATGCAAGTACAGATTAAGTATGACTCAAGTCTAGGTAACTTTTTTCAAGGCCATTGTTCTGGCAGATGATATTCCCCTCAGGTTTTATAACAATCAGAGAATTTTATTTTAGGTAATATCTGTGTCATATACCACATAAAGTATGCTGTAGTTATTTCTTCTAGGGAGCTAATTACTTCTCTTTACTTCATGCTTAATGTGAGCTGTGGAGTAATGCCCTTGGATTTTAAAGATGTACAGATATGCACACATTAAGAAAATTAGGATTTCACTGTGTTGCCACAGAGGTCAAAAAAGTGTAGTCATCCTGTGTGGCTGTTAAAGCAATAGGCAAGACACAGTCTTATAACTGGAGAGCACAGACTCTTCTGAGGCAATAAGGAGAAAAGTTCTAAATACTGCCTGGTCAGAAAAACCCACTTCATACTTGAAAATGTAATCCACAGCTGAAGAGATTGTCAAGAGAATAGTAGTATTAAACTTGCTATTTCATTCTCAAGAAATGGTTTGAATGGTCCATTTTCTGAATGTTTTTAATATGAAATTTTCACAGCTAGTAGGCTGGGATTTAATCTGAGAATTCACATAGATCACACTACTAATAAATTGATTTTTGGAGACCAAAAGACATTATGGGCCATTCTCAGATGAGGTAGCCCCTACTTCTTTCTTATACTTTGCTTTTCGGCTGTGTACATCTGATAGTGAAGTTGCATTGAATTTTGTGGTTATGTGACTGTACAATGAAGTGCTCATTTCTTATGTTTACCTGTGTTTACTAGGTGAATGTTACTGGGTTTTTCATTCATCAGTCAAATAAATTAATCCTATATCCATTGGGGCCTCATATAGGAAAGATTCCTTGCTTATTTGACAGGTAGCTTCTTTGTGCAGCATTAGTGACAGTGCATGATGCAAACTGTTCTGTTTTTTCTTCTGTGAAGAAATGTCAAAATACATTCCTTTGCATGCTATTTGTTTCTCAATTAACCCTTGTAAATATTTAGCTGCTTTATCTGACTTTTATATACATCAAACACAGAAAAGAGTGCACATCAGGAGCATGCATGCTATCG